TATCAGTGAGATTAAGCTGATCTGAATGATATCAGATATAGAAATTATACTCTGAAAGCAGCTTTATTCATCTGACTTGATATTCTGTCAAGCTCTTTGTTATTAAGAAGTAATGCAGATTTGCATAATCAGTGAGAACTTATACTGAATACTTACTACTCTGAAGATAATATCATCAGATTTTAAAGAATTTAACAATTATTAACATCTTCTGATCATGAGTATCATATCTTCTCTGTATGAGTGATAACTTCTTGAAGAAGAAGATCACTGATCTTTATTCACAGTGTCTTATAAACTTTATGAAAAAGTCTTCTCTCACAGACAATTTATTATCTGTTTTCTCAGAAATAATTATTCTCTGATTCTTTCAATATTGAAAGGCCTTCAGTATCAACTGTAAAAAGATTTCATAGATCTCATTCTCAGATACATCAGTCTCACACTGACTGAGTAAGTCAGAATTAAAGTGATTCAGTATTATAATATCTGTGAAAGCTTGTTTCAATTCTACAAACATCTGTATAGTATCTTGAGTGAGAGTAAACAGTTTTATTTTTCTGTCTTTCACACTTCTCTTTAACAGATCTGTAAGAGAGATAGTAATCTGTGAATATGTATAGATGAATCATCTGTAGAAATTTACAAATTCTAGAAACATCTGCATCTTGTAATACATCTGCAGCACTGATCAGTTTTCAATGATAAAGACCTAACTTCTGTTCATCAAAATGCTGTTTATCTCAATAATATAATCTAAGAAATCAATCTTCTGTATGTAGAATGAGCATTTTTCAGTGTTTGTATAGAGTTGATACTGTCTCAAGTGACTTAACACTTCTTAAACATGAATATCATGTTCTTTCTTCATTTTTGAGAAGATTAGAATATCATTCAAGTATACTATACAGAAGACATTGACAAGGCTCTGCAGTGTCTCATTTATATAGATCTGAAAGATGGCTGAAGCATTATAAAGATTAAAAGATAAAACAAGATATTTAAAATTACTGTATTTAATATAAAAAGCTGTTTTTCAAATATCATCTTTGTTAACTCTGATTCTATGATAGATATCTCATATATTAATCTTTGAGAACATCTTTGCTTCAGATAATTGATTGATTATCTCATCAATTAATAATAATAAATAGTGATTCTTAACTGTCATCTTATTAAGATCTCTGTAGTCTATGTATAGACATAGTCTATTATTCTTCTTAAGTATAAAGAGTATAGATATCTCTGCTGAACTCTTTGATAAATATATTCAGTTCTTTGATTACACTTCTTCAAGATATTTACACAGAATATTCAACTTCTTTACAGATAAGTTATAAAGAGATCTGTACAGTGCTGTTACATCATCTTCAAGACAAATCTTATATTATATCTTGATATCAGAAAACTTCACTGCTTCTCTTTCTGAAAAGATATTCTTAAAATCTGTAAAGAGATATTATGTACATCTGTCTTTAATAATAAATACTGCTGCTAATCTTATAGTGAGAGTGATGACTTCTTCATCTATTTTCAAGTCTCAATTATCTGCTACACAGTATATTAACTCAATCTTTTTCTCAAGATTCTTTTAATGAAACTCTTCAAGTTTCTCTATCACTGTCTCTTTATCAGTGAGATGATACTGTCATGTCTGAGTGACTCAGTTAATGAGAGAATTATTTTCTCTCAATCATAGAAGATCTAGAATGATGTTCTCATCTATAATATTAACTATATGAAGAAGCAGACTGCTCTTCTTAAAGATTTTTTCTAAGTCTGTGACTACACACTTCACTTAAATTATGTTAAAATAGTGATATTTTATTTCATCAGTAAATTTCACATAATCTGACAGATCTATCTTCTTTCAATTCTTCATCAAAGAAAAGAAATAAAATATGAAGTTAATATCTATTCTGAAGTTGAGTAGATATCTTACTAGTATCTTCTCATTCAGAGTATATATTATGATTGTAACATGAACTCAGAGATATAAGAATTATCAATTCTTCATTTCTTTCTCTTTATTATCTTTCACAGATACATTTATCAGAAGAGAAGTTAACTTTGAGAAGATATCTTCTTAGTTTCTTCTCTTCTTCAGCTTCTTACAATCACTGATATAGTATTTATCAGCTTTATAGTTAAAACAGAGATCTTTATTAAATCTTTTTTAATATTTCTTTACAGTGAGTGAAGAATCAGAATACTTGAAATTCTTCTTTACTTTCTCTGCACTGAAGCTGTTACAGTGCTGTTTAGATTCTGTTATTAATTACTTAGAAGAGATCTTATTAGTCTTTTTCTCAGAGAATTGATTATTTAAATAGATCTGAGAAGTCAGATTGACAAGCTCAGTACAATTGATTAATAAACTCTGATATTATAATATTATTATTCATATCTTATGAGTCAGCTTTATAAGATAAAGCTGTATTTTTAATTAATCTAAATTATCAGTCAGTTTCTCTTAATATTCTTTAAATCTTGCATTGAAATCAGAAGAATTCTTATTATCTTATTAATATAATAAGTTGAACTGCTATACTGCTGTGAAGCTGTAATTATAATGATCTTTGATTTAATTTAATAGAAAGTTCTTGAATTCTTTCTAAGTTATAATAGTATTGATATACTCAAGCTTTCTCTTCTTAATAGCTCAAGTAGTCACAGAGATGTCTTCAAGAAGATTGACAGTGTATATTACTTATATCTCATAAGTATTATACTGACTTAAGTTAAGACAGAATTTTCATTCAAGAGTATGAATAAAGCTGTGAAATTCAGATAAGATATTTCTCTTATATCTCAGAGAATCTTCAATCTTAATCTCTCTATTTTCATAATAGATGTAGATATGTAGAGACTGTGATAATAGCAGAGCAGTTAAAGAGCTCATATCAAAATATACAGTGAGTTCAGAAATCTCAGATTTCTGTTAGAGTAGAGATGTACATACTCTAGAGAATGATATAGTGTTTCTCTCAGAGAGTGAGATCAGATCAGTCTCAGTATAAGTATATGAGATTATATTAATCTATTAGAGCTTAACTAATTCAAATATATAATCAGATCAAGTGATTCAAATTGTAATATAACAGAACTGAAGCAGTGACTAGTCAGCAGTAATATATAGAGATAGTTATTTAAGAAGCTGTATAAGTGAGCTTGACTATCTTACTTGAATAGTGAGCTCATAGACTACAGAGTTATTGCAAGAATATCACAGATATAATACTTAGTATGCTAAGAAGATTGTATGAGATATACAGTAACTCTTGTGTATATTTCAGTCAGAGTAAAATAAATTACTGACTTTTTTGATAAGAAGTCAGTATCTAGTTATTCTATATAAACAATGAGTGAATACTCTTCTCTTCTTTTATAAGTGAGAATAGTCAGAGTAATACCTCAGTGACATCTCATTGCTAAGAAAGAGTAATCTGCTGATCTTATATAGAAGTGAGGTTCTTATACTCATCAATCAGATCTTTCTATAATATATTCAAATGATGTCATAGAGCAGTTGAAAACTGGTTCAGATGAGATGAAATCATCTGCATGAAAGTAATAAGCTGTGTGAAACTGTAGTGAGGCCTTGACACGGTCTGAAAGTGTGACATACTTATAAATAATTATTTGAAAATTTACAGTTTGATGTGATATATACTGATAATTATTAAAAGTATTCATAGTAGAAAAATAAATGTAGAAATTAAATGTATAATAATATTCAAGCTGAGTTATAAATAGTAATTATAAACTTCAGTTTATATAGTTATATGTAATCAAGAGCTACTAACTTTATTAATTACATAAGAGATGAAAATAGTGTTAAGAGTCCCGCGGTTGGTCGGCCCTTCTACCAGCAGACGCTGGTGATGATTGAGCTCTTTTGTCTCAGTAGTCTACAGGTTATGAGACTGTTGAGCATGAGCCCCGCTGTGGTCAACATACATGGATTCAATTCCAGAATGAACTTAAAAATTCCTAACAAATACTCTTGAACATTTTAACAGTGTCAAGAGACATCTCAGAAGTGTGCTCTAGAAGTCTCATGAGCTCTAGAACTGACTGAGTCCATTATTAAAAAGAAGCCATTGTGAGGAGGTCACTGAAGAGAGCCACTGAGAAGAAGTATTGTACTCTGTGGTAGCTGGTCTGAGAGGGAGTGTTGAGAGTCCCGTGGTTGGTCGGCCCTTCTATCAGCAGGCGCTGGTGGTGATTGAGCTCTTTTGCCTCAGTAGCCTACAAATAGAAGTAAAGAATCTGTAAGAAGCAGAATTTCTTACATTTAAAACAGTAAAGATTTCATTAAATTTAATATATATTAATCAGATAGTAATTAATACTCTGTATAATTTTATTAATAATGAAATTATTAAGTTGAAATATCATATTAATGATAAAAATAAGACAGATATGTATTTAAATGATTTTTAATTAAGAAAGATATATATTGAATAATAATTAAATAATTTTAAAGAAATGTAAATGTTTTGATTTTTTTATAATGTTTTACTATTAATTTTCAGATAAATACTGAGAAAATTCTGTTTTTATAAGTAATACATCTGTCACAATAACTAATTATTTCTAGCAAGTATTTATTAGAGAGTGTTACTGCTGAAAAGAGTTTTAAACTGGCAAAAATAACAATAATACACATAATTGATTTATTCAGAATATCACTATATAGCCTGTACAAGTTTAAAAAAAATAAAAATAAAAATAAAAATAATATATATATATATATATAAATTGGAGATAGCAAGAATAGATTTCTTGCCAAAATAAAAAATGAAGAGAAGAAATGTGGTGATTAAATATCAGTTCTAGTTAAATTTTTTTTTCTTGAATTTGTTTGGTATTTTGTTTCTTACAAGTTAGTTACCACTCATCTTCAAGTGCAGTATACAAAACCCGAAGATTTATTATGCGGTGGTTTGTTTCCCCCAGTTTGTACGCAGAAATTACGAAAAGCACATCGAAAAGGGTCAATTCGGCATTTTCTCTATTTGTTTCACCTGTTTTTTTTTTTTTTTTGCTTTGTGAATTGAGTGTATAGATGTCCTATCCCGCTATTATTTCTGAAGGAGTGGTGGTGGGCGGGATTTGAAGGAGCATTTAAAATAAACCAATCATTTCCTTGGGAGGAAAGCAATGGACCCGAAATATAGGAGGTGCTGCTCCCTTCATCCTTTCAAAAATAAAGACACAGGTATCGCCCCCCCAATACAGGTTGATATTCAGCCCCACGTGTGGATGCGAGGCATAAGCGTGGAGAGGAAAAGAAAAGTGAGGAGATATACATACCCTCTTTCTATAACCTCCATGAACTCTCTCGAAATCCTTCTATCCATCCATAAATTTTCTCCCTCCCCTTTTCCATAGCCATATGGTATGAAATAACCATATATGCCTTCAATAAATGAAACAAGTTGTTGGAACAGACGAAACGAAGCCTATCACTTTACCTGAAGATTCTCAACATCATTCCCTGAAGCAGAGGAGGTGCTCTTGTTCTCGGTACTCCTCAGATCGGCTACAATACTTGCAACGACGGGCTCCTCTTCCCCGTGCAACTGCGGGCGATGCTCGATGTTGACTTTAGGGCCTTTGAACCACTTATGCGCATCGATGAACCACCAGATGGTTATTAGGAACATTGGGCCACCGTATGCGATACAGGTCCAGTTCATGTCCTTGAGGCTGATTCGTGACAGTGGAAGTGGGTCAGTGTGTATAGGCGGATTGGAGAATTTAAGGGGAAATGGAGGGAGAAAAAGTGAATTAATGTGCAGCTAGGGTAGACACTCACGTCAGTTCCGATCCAGTCGTTGCCGGAAGACACAAAATCGGAATCATCAATATGACAAACAAAACTCCCGCAGCTCCTATGGGGGTGCTATATTTCCCCAGGTTCCAGGGTCCTGGCCGAAAACGGTCTTTCACAACCAGAACTCGAATGCCAATTGGGATAGCGAAGGCGGTAAATGAAGCGATGGCTCCAATAGAAAATAGAGCGCCAATGGCAATATCTCCCGCCAATATGAGCAGACAAGATAATATCCCAATGACACAGTTGAACCAGACGGCATTGACGGGTGTGTGGGTGTACGGGTTTACTTTTTTCCAGATATTGGATAACGGAAAGCAGTCGTCACGAGCATATGCATATGTAACGCGGGAAGCGGCAATCATGCATGCCTGGCCCATTGAGAAGCAGCAGATAATTGTCAGGGCGAGGATGGCAACTGCTAGTTTATGGGGCATGACTTGGAACAAGTACGACGCCCACGGCTGGTCTAGGTCCGATTCCAGCACTGCTGTAATATCTGTAACTGTATAGGCAACGACAAGTTGGAGGAACCATCCCATAAGCCCACCAAAGCTGGAAGTGATTACGATGGCGCGGGGACATGCGACGTTCGCATTCGAACATTCCTCGCTCAAATGGAATGGGGAATCATATCCCGACATCGCCCAGATGACGCTGACGAAAGACATTAGGACTGAGAGGCCTTTCGGATATGAGGTGCCGTCGTATATATTTCCCCAGACCTCTGAGGGTGAGGAAAACCTGGGAGAGTTAGTCGTTCCTATGGGAATGGCAATGAGGACGATCACAAGGGCGATGATGTTGAAGACCGACCCGTACGAATTTAAGTGGGCAATCCATTTCGTCGGCATGCTACTAAGAACCGCATGAAAAATCATTATCAAGGTCGTGAGTAAGAACGTTTGATACTCCGTCGGGATGTAGTCTGGCTTATTGATCGAGACTGCAGCCAAAGTCATGGCTGCTGTGGCATAGTCCACAGATGGAGCTCCCATTACCTGGGCTATCCAGCTGGACCATCCTGTAATCCAAGCAGCGAAAGGGCCGTACATGGGCGGTGCTAGAACTGCTGCTGCATAGTAAAGGCCACCACTAGAGCGGTAGTTTAAGGTTAGTTAACCTGATATTGAACTTAGCAAAGCTTGAAGAATGAGCTACTTTACCTTGTGGGCATTGCAGAGCAGAGTTCAGCCATACTCATGGCAACACATTGGATAAAAGCCATTGCGATAAGCCAGCCCCAGACCATTCCCGCGGTACCCGCATATCCCATACCTGCAGTTAATTCTAATTAGATCACCAACACATGGGCCTTAAATGTCCGGGCTTTAAAGCATCATCCTCTTCCTGAACTAGGGAATGGGATCGGGATGATCATACCGTACCATAGCGTACTAGCAAACGATGGCAAAAGTCCAAGAACTGAAAAACTGACACAGAAAGTGGTCCAGAGGGAAAACTCGCGCTTGAACTCCTGTTTATATCCTAGAGAAACAATGACACGTTCATCAGCATCCATTGAATGGTCTGTGATAGGGATGTCGCCTTCAGGGAGCGCAGAAATGACCTGTGCCCTATCGGCTTCGGAGAACCGTTGGGGTTTGCTAGTGGCCATGATTCCTATGAAGATAGAGATAGGAATTTATGAGATGGTTGAATCGAGCCATATGGTGTGTTTTTATGCACTTCTCAGAGCTGGGGGATATATGCAAAAACGTGGCAAAGACTGTGAGCCTCCGTAATCCTATGCCCCATTGCCAAATGTCGACATAGTGGTCGCACAAACGACATAGAGGATGTAACATTAGTAATTAATTATCCAGAATCTCGCAGTTGCAACTGGTGTCTCTCACTGAAGCACTCTGATTAGATAGAAGCATATAAGCAGACCCATCTGAGCTTCCAATACGCGGAAAGTGATAAAACCTAGCATCCATCCTACAGCGCCTGCATATCATTTTTTTTCTATTATCAAATACCAATTGTAGAGTACCATCAGTAATAGTATCCGTAGATAATGGTGCTCCGTAGATCCCGTTGATGAGGACTCACCGGACGAGGTTGAGTTGACAAGTTATTAATAACAGATCACTGAATATGTCAGCTCCAGCGTCTGAAATGAAATCTCATGCCTTTGTCCCAACTTCCCACAACTTATTATCTATAGCAATTCACCCTGAAATCCTAATCAGGAAGTTAATATCTCATTCTCTTGGACTCATCTCTTTCGCACATGTAGTGGCTAATGAAACGAAATAAACCCTCAATTCAATGCCAAGGTGATGAACACTCCCAAGGAGAGCAGATTTGTTTCAGCCGAAAGGGCATGTCTCCCCAGAAGTGAACAGGGTTGACAGAATCCATATGTCACGATCGCTCCTAAGGGGTGCTAGCAAGCTCATGGCCAACCACATATCTAGACCACAGGTTAAGGACAATGACTAGACAGCGAATATTAATTAGGCTTCCGGAACACGTTGGAAACCTAATCATTGTTAAGGATTTTCAACTAACGTCATGTTGCTAAAGGGACCAGGGTGAAGATGTAGTGGTAAATGCAATAAAGTTACCTAAAATTGTTAAACTCAACTCTCGAAACCCGATCCCACATCGAATACGCATGCCTCATTTAACAAGTATTGAAAGTCACTGCCTCTGCGCCTAAGGAAAGGATCATGACATAGCGTCTACTAGGTAGTTGCTTCCCAAGAATGTCCCGCAAGTTGCTAGAAAACATCCAATCAATTTCTAGTGGATAACTCTTGTCTACTTCCCTCCAACCTGCTCCGGCTCCTTCCCCTCGTCATATCCGTACTTCTCCTTGAGCTTCTCGATGAGTTCGACGTACTGCTTTTGTGCATCTTCGGAGGAGAGGCCCTCATCAGCGACCTTTTTCCAGGAGTTGTATTTGTATTTGCCCTAGGAGATTGAAAGACGGGTAGAAGAGAAAGAATCTGTTAGCATCTTTATTGTCCTAGTTTTTATCCAAACCTAAAGCACGGCACGTATATGAGATAAAAACCAAACCCCAGCCTCCTCATTAACCACATACCTTAAAGTCAAAAGTTCCAGGCTTGGGAGCCTCTTCAAAGGGAGGTTCTTGGGTTCCTTGCTTGAAAAGTGCGTACAGCTATTTGAAACAGGTAGACGTCACAAGTTAGCCAGAAGAGTCGTACGCTATTAACCTGCATCCCTCGTCTCTTCCACTCCTTTGTTATGTTCACCCTCTTTCCTCCCCCAGGGTGGGGGGCGGGGGGCGGGGGGCGGGAGAAGACGATTCTCCATCGAACAAAACCCGATACCGCAAACGTATGAATTAAGAAAACAAACCTCCAACAAGTCGTCATCGCTGGGCTTTGTGGACAGTTTCCGGCTCGCCTCAACGGCGGCTTCGAACTCGGGAGACTTTGACACTGCCATTATTTTTTAATGTTGAAGTGGTATTAAGGGGGGTGAGGAACAAGGAAGCTGCGGTAAGACGAGAAAAGAGATTTCGTAAAGGAACTCCGTCTCTTGTTCCTTTCGAAGTAGCAGAGCAAGGTAGTAACAATATATGTCTTCCTGCGTTAGGGGTCAGGTTAGTTTCGATCTGCAGTATTAAACCCCAGGTTGGTGTATATTTGCAGCTGGTGTTGTTCAAGTGATGACAATGTTGATCATGCCAGTAGATCAGAGCAAGGTCTGCATTTGCATGCACGGGGAAACAGAATGATTTGTGCCAGTCACACTCACAATTAGCTGTTTTATTTTAAGAAGAAAAAACCAAGTCAAAGTTTCAACTATTTGATATCATTGGGAATGAAAGCAACTTCGTTGAGCGCTTTCTGGAGGGGAAAGTCCTCAAGGTTGGGGCGCGGAGCGGGGCAGTCAGCTGAGTAAGCCGGGACTTTTCAATGGGATGAGGTCATATCACCCAGGCGCCCTTTATATATGTATGTACATATAGGGATAAGGATTGGAATTAATTGATTACGCGGAGAGTGGATTTAGTTTCCTCTGTACTGGATAATGGAAAGCAGAAGAGAAATGAGCAATATTTTGCTTCATTCGTTCGAGAAGCTTGAGTAAGAATAGGGAGGTCAGGCTTTTTACGTCATGGTTCATTCATTCATCATTGTTCATAAAAAGACGAATTGAAAAAAGAAGAAAGGGAAAGAAAGCGAAAAGAAAGGATATCTGGGAGCGTATGAGTAATACCAAAAACCGCAAGCGCTAGAATATTATTCTATCAAACAACCATAACCGTCGTTATACGCCAAATGATGCTAGGAAAGCACAAGCACGCTTGTGCCAAAGGTAAATATAAGGGGAAAGAATAATCACGGTTATTCGTAGACCATGTAAAGGGGGGAAATGGAGAAAAGTTAAAAGGAAGCTGCTGAATTTCCGAATTGTTGGAATACAATAGGGAGTGTTAGATTTTTAAAATCGATGACCACCAGGGAGGTGAGCCAGCATTCCAAAAGCAGATTTTTCCAGTACTTGCAATTTCCCGTAAAGAATAGAAAAAGGAAATGAATCTAGGTATCGTACCAATGTTAAAGAATATGATATCATGCTGCTGCAGTAGAAAAAAAGAAAAAGTAAAAAGTAAAATCGTTTCAAAAGTGTGTCACGCTCACCAGTCAACGGCCCAGCCGTTTTTGGCCAAGAAATCATCACAAGCGGCTTTTAGGGCATAGTTTGGCCGGATATCGTTGATAGTCATGGGTACCCGGGTAATGGGGTCCACGGGGGAGTGCTGGATATGTTTTAGGATGCTAGTGCGTTCGAAAGAGTGGCCTGATGGGGTGACGACAGGATCGTGCATTATTTCAAATGAGATGCTGTCTATGAGATAATCAGGGACGACCTAGGATGGAAAAAAATGAGTTTAAGAACTAAGTTTGAAAATGAACTTCGAGGTAGCGAAAGTAGAATCTCCCGGGGAAAAGGGATAAAAATAAATAGGGCATGAATATATATACATACCCGTTCCTTCATATCCTCACCCACCGAGGCAGCAAACACATCCCTCATAATATTCAATCTCTTCTGTGTGTCGTCCAACAAATCCTTCTTATCCTCTTCGAACCCGATCTGCCCAATCTCCCCGGCGGCCAATCTCGCGCGCAACTCGGCTAGTTCCTTTTCATAATCGGCCTGAAGTAACTCCTCCCATTTCCTCAATGCCTCATTCTGATCCCGTAATCGCGTTGTCTCCTTTGCCGCCCATATAGCTTGCTTGGCGTGCAGTATGACCTTCGATAGCGGTTCCGCATTTGGGTTCTTCGTTTCTATACTAGCCTTGTAAGCCGCCAGGGCCACATCGCGGGCTTCAGTTGGCCGTTGGAGGCCGAGAAGGGATTGGGAGAGGTAGTAGTTTGATTTGATGGCGGCGGGGTTCTTTGGACCGTAGAGATCTATAGCGATGCGCGCATCATGTTCAGCGCCCTCCCACTTTTCGAGCTTGATTCGGACTAGGGCGCGGTTATTGTAGAAAGAAGGGTCGTTGGAATTCTTCTGAATGCTGCATGAAAGCACATATCAATTTAGAACCAATACATCTGCAGTAAATAGGCGAGGGTATCCATCTCTTAGAAGAATTAAGGGGAGCGTACGCTTGCGAGTAGAGGTCTTCAGCCCCGGAGAAATCACCATCCTTAAAGCGCGCATTGCCTTTGGCTTTCAGCTCATATGCCATTTGGTTCTTTGTGGTGTCAAGAGGAAAGGAAGTCTATCCGACAGTCATGCACTGGGATGCCTTCCTCGAACCCTCGAATGTCTCGAAGTACTATGTATAAAATAATGAATGTAGATAATACAACTAAAGGTTAGCAGCTACCGAGGTGAAGACAAATGAGTGCTTAGGCATGTCCACAGAGTGTAACTTCCCACAAAACAAACAGAATGTTGAAAATGAGTGGCCAAGAACAGACAGTGCTATGATGGCAAAATTTAAACAATGAATGTTGTTTTTGAGGGGCCTTTGATATCTCATTCCATAGAACCTTTGGAAGCATTTGGAAGCTCAGAACCGCCTGGCTAGTCCTGGGTTGACTATATCAGCTGCTGCTTTAAGAATACCGCATTTGTCAGCCCGGTATGCTTGAAGCGGCATTATATTAGTTTGAAATTGGTAATTCTCATCTGTACTGTTCCTTCCCACTTCAAGCTAGGCGTTCGATATACCTCTCCCGGGCTTATTTGCTCTATTCCTGCGTCATGAGGACTGAAGCTGCCAACAGTGGTTTAATCACTTATCGCCATGCCGTATATAATGCCAGATTAAGGAGAAACCAGCACATACGACGGCTGACTTTGATCCCGCGCGGCCCCAGAGTACCGTACCGAGGAATATCCTGCCGAGCCATAGTTGGATTAGAGACATTAGTGGAGGCTTGCAAGTAAAGGAGAGATCTTCAAGAGAAGAGTAGCGAGAGTAGCGAGAGGCGCTGCTTTTAGTAGATACACCATGCACCTTAGTTGAGCAATCTCTGACTCAAAATCTTAAAAAAATCTTTATGATAGGCTGCAGTACGTAAATATCACCAATCTAAGCGTAGGGCTGGGTGCAGATTGCCTGCCCTTGGCGCAACAGTAACGTTATCTTGTCTGCGTGCAAAACCAACCCGGCAGCTAGAGATAGAAATCAACACCACTTCCCCTCACAACTGAGTAGCCAGCTGTCTCCCATTCAACTACTACTACAGCGACAAAAAGCCAGGCATAAGTGGCACACGATTAAACATGAACTCGGACCCATTCACTCCCAAAGGTATTATTAATGCCTTCCTACTCAAATTTTTGCAAAGATAGCTTTGATAACCACCAATTAGATGGCTACGGACAAGTGATCTTTGCTGGATACTTCCCCGAATTTCCCAGAATCATCCGCCTCGATGAGCACAGAGTACTGAAATCCGCAACTCACTGACAGCTCTGAAACTGAAGCTATGGAATTCATCGCTACCAACACCACAATCCCAGTCCCAAAAGTCTACGAGACTAGATGGTCCGGCAACAGAACCAGGCTTTCTCAAATAGTCATGGAATATATACCTGGGGAATCACTTGATACAGCATGGGGGAAGCTCACGCACGACCAGAGAATGTCTGTCTGCCACCAACTCCGCGGCTATCTCTCCCAGCTCCAAAACCTAACAAGCAAGACAAAACGCATTGAGGCCGCGAATGGTGGGCCAATAACCGCTGGGCTTCGATTTCCTCGTCGGGGTGGCCCCTTTGACTCTAAGAAAGAGCTTAATGACTTCCTTGTTGAGAAAAATGGTAATGAATATCTGTTCGTCTTCAGGCGCTACGCGAGAGCCGCGATGTCAGATGACCATGAAATCCATTTTGCGCACGGCGATTTCTCGCCGCGCAATATCATGGTTGAAAATGGTATGGTCAAGGCGGTTTTGGACTGAGATAGAGCAGGTTGGTACCCTGAGTATTGGGACCAGAATAGGATGCTTACTGAAAACCCTGGGATAAAAGATTATAACCCCTATCTCAAACATATTATTCCCTTCAAGTACGCGCAGGAGATTGTAACAATGGGATATCTATCGCACATTTCAGGCGATGGGTAGGCGATGGATGTGTTTTGAATTTTCAGATTTTTTTCGACGTCTTATACGAAGTATTGCCACTAGACTACATGTATTTAAATGCTTTGTTTCAACATGAAAAATAGCCGGTTCAAGACATGGGGAAGAGAGGGGAAGCAGTAAGAGCAGGCCGCTATTATGCTAACTATATCAATGTGCCCCTTTTTTTTACCTCCAAACATTTTACAGGCACACCCATGAAACATCAGAAATCCGAAATTTCATTCCTAACAGCGCAATGCAGCCTAGTATGTGAGTGAACATTCCCTTTAAGGGCCTGTTCGGTGCGTCCGTACTTTTTGAACGCAATAGTGGATCTCATTAAAAATAGTGTATTTACCAATTATTTAGTAGCAAGCCGGCGTTGCGCCACCTTGATGATCTTTGCTGATAATATTCTTCTGTAGGATGGGATGGAGAAAGAAGGAGCTTACAAAACACATTCTTTTTGAACAGAGTCCAGAGTCTATTCAAAAAGAATGTGTTTTTGTAAGCTTCTTCCTAACCAATATTAGTTAACTGTCTCCACTATGAACACTATTCTACACTATATTGCCTCTAAAAGCGCTATTCTACATCATCACACATCATTGAAGTTAAATATGGCTTATTCATAAGATCTTGACAAAAGATGCAAGTACGGCCGCTCAATCCACTGAACACCTGGCCTTTTTCATCTGTACTTTGTAAAAAGCAGCTGTATTATTAGTACAGACGCTCTGCCCACTGAACAGTCATGAGATTGGGGCCGTACTTTTTAAAAAAAGTGGAGATCCGTACAAAAAGAACGAGTACACACGGACGCACCGAACAGGCCCTTAGTAAGTGCCTTGTTTGTGTTAATAGATCAATAAATATGCACTAGCTGAAATATTCTAGTTACCACTAATGCTAGAGAAGCTCTTTGCATAGCCTTTTGATCAAGGCTTGGGTACATTCCACAGTATTAATTCATCAGCTGTTGTTTCCCCATGTAACTCCTTGCATGGTGGTAGGGAAGTGCTGGCATGACTCGATATGTCATCAACATCAGCGCAAAGCGCTGTTTCACCCATAATTGTTTCATCGCACGGAGACTTCCCAGCCAAACCTCAATTAACAAGGCCAGGCTCCCAACATCGTGTGGGGCCGTTGGAGATCAACCTTTCAATCCAGCATCTTGGCTATCTTGAGACACATCGGCGCTCCCGATTCCGCTCTTCCACCTGAGATCAACAAGAAACGTTCCCCGGAATAAGGCTGGCGCTTATTTGGGAAACCGGTTGGATGTTCTTTTGGACTGATAACACTTCCTACCACTTTATCAGTCCATTGGAGAGCGCGATATCACTCTTGCTCGTTGTCTCTGCTTTCATCTCCATTTTTGTAACCTCCCCTGAAATGGAAGATATCTTTAGACTTGGAAATCCCTGGGCAATCTGACCAGACTCGGAAACTATTGGATATCAGTGTTCACCGTTGCTGGCCTAGAATAAAATAGAAAAAGACCTAGGCTCCGCTCGGTGGTAGCACCTTTCTATTTTCCTTTTGCACATATCCAGATGGGAGAATGTAAAGAGACGCTTGTCCCTGCATGATGTTGTTCCAAAAACAGCCCTTGCAACCCAAGAACTCTCCGCCGTCAAGAATTAGTCCTTTCGACTCGCTCAATCACTACATTCAGTCAGAACACCATCCGCACTCCGCAAGAAAACTATTTTCTCCGTATCACCCACACTGTCCGTCCGTAGAAACATCGGAATGCCTGCTGCTTCTCCTTCTCATCCTACTGTTACCATTGTTACCATCCATGCCTATCGCGGACCATTGTAATGTACACCGACGAGAAATCCAGCTATCACGCGTCCCTGTTTGTGAATGAAGTCAACGAAATACTAGGAACCCTCATCCACGCCACAAATTTCGACGACTCCTGGAAAGTTGAAATGAGGCTAGGCTACAACCCCACCACACTCTCAACTTAGTCGGGAGGGTGCCAGTTTGTAGTCTACCCCTGCATCCAGGTTTGGTTTTGGGGATCCTTCAGCAAGTGCCCATTGTAAATGCCTTGGAATGGAATTGTCAACACTTGGGTGGGGATGCGCTTCAGGCTATGGTAACCCGTCGACTTATCACTCAGCAAGTGAGGTCAGATGTTGTCGATCAGATGGTGGATTTTATTCTTCAGGGGCCGGACGATGCGATTTAGAAGAGGGTGTTTATTACTGCAAGGTTGATAAACTAGAATGAATAGGTATGTATATTAAGTAGGTATACCTATTGAAGGAGCAAATCCTGTTGAAGGCCTATATATGTTGAAGAAACGTATTTATTGAAGGAAGTTCTCTCATGGTTTGCTCCTGTGCTTTGATTTGCTTGGTGCACAATCTCGTCTTTCTTCCCCCTTTGTCTATTTTCTCCTTTTTGGCTTTTTTGTTTGATCTTACTACGAATTCATTACTATGGAACCGACATCCATGTAGTTATATATTCAAGGCATCTCTCCTTCTAAGAAATAACTAAGAAATAACTACGATGTTAAAATCGATTCAACTCATAAGGCATGCACCTCACCACTTACAATATCTATATATAATTAAGAACATTTGACCCCCTTCTGAAAAATAGATATTAGTCAGAACTTTCAATGGAAGGGCTCATTCGTTTGTGATAACATGGTCACTATGTCAATAAGCTATATCTACTACTCAAATCACGAGAGCCCTTCTATAACGTCTCCTCTACTTCCCTAACCACCTTACGCACCCCATCAACCTCATGCGCAAACCTCCCCAAAAACATCCCATCAACAACCTTCCCCAACCCACCCTCCCCCCACAACCCAGGCCCTGCACTCCCTCCATACAAAATCCTCACCTCCCCCTCCCTCCCACTCCCACCCACAACCTCTCTAATCCCACCCACAACACCAGCAACATGCTCCACGCTCGCCGGCACCGGCTTCCCAATCGCCCAGACAGGCTCATACGCAAAAATCAGCGGCGCATAGCTCGGCGCCGCCGCCAGCACCGCCTGAACCTGCACCATGCACTCAGCAACGGCGTTTCGGACCGCGTCTGCCATCACGGGGCCTGGGGCAGCAATTTCGCCCACGCAGACAAGCGGGATCATACCCTGGGCGCTCACGGCGGCCGCCTTGCGCCCCACGTGCTCAATCGGTCTCGTGAAAGAGGGCGCGCCGCTCCGCGGGCCCGAGTTCAACTAGCGAGACGTGGAGGGATTGCAGACATGATGGTGAGACTTCGCCTGTGTAAGGGCCTAGGGGTTGCCAGAAGCAGTCTTGGGCGCCGAGGAGGAAGGGGGGTGGTTGTTGATGTTGTTGTTGGCCTTTTTGGCTTGGTTGCTGTAGTTCGGGGAAGTGAGATTGGAGGATTTCGGAGCAAGGGTATATGGTGAGGAAGTCTGGGATTAGGGCGAGGAGGAGCTTCGAGCGGTTTTCTGGGCGGAGGATTTCGTTTTGGGGGTCTAGGAGGTCGCGGAGATAGGTGATTGTGCGAGGAGGGGTGAAGTACATTTTGAGAGATATTATGAGAAGGGTTTTGGGTAGGAGGGGGTATGAAGGTCTAGCCTCCATTTTCGCAGAACTTTTGTTTCTTGAAGGAAGGATGATAGGTGGATAAAGATGGTCTATTGCTTCGTCTTCTTCTTCAGTTCTCTCCTATATCTTTGTATTAGGGAGGAACAGTTGGTTCTATCTGGATGACCGGGCGTTTGAGTCTTCTCTTCCGTAAGATTATTTTTTTTGAGCAGCAGTTAATTATTAGATAGTCACTAGAATACGTGTATTGGCGAGGTAGAAGTACACTTGTAAGATAGCTTTAATATGAATGATTGACTTCTCAATTGCAGAAAATGGTATCAGAATCGGTCCCTTCTCGGCAATATTGGTGTGAAGCTCCGGCAAGGCCCCTCACTAATCCCGATCAGGTATATACCACGTGATCTAAATGCCGGACGTTGCGCCGGTAACTTTCGGTGTACCAAGATCGTCAGGCAAACTTGCTAGTATCAGAACTGTTTTACCCACACCGGCTTGCCGGATTCAGTTAGCCGGTGGAGTTGCAATCCAAAATGCAAGCAGCAATTCTCGCCAAGGTGAATCACTTACAGAGTACTCCGTAGTCTGTGTGCGGAAATAATTATTTATTATTGTTTTTCATGTTTGCATGAAGTTGTGAAACGAGGAAAAGTGGAGCGAAAAAAAATTGGCGCCAACTAGCAATCTTTCAGTACCCATACGTGGGTCGGCTAAGGTTATGATAATTTTGATAACGATACATTTATTACCGGATAAAATACGTCGGCAATCGAAGCATAGCCGCGAGTCGAGCCAGAAGACGAGCAAAGTTGCGCCTAATTGCTGGCTAAAATGCTACCCGAAGAGCTGTAAGGCAGATGAGAAGAAAAAAGCCTTAGAGAGTAGTGTGAAGAATATGCCCTTGGGGCTAAAGGATACTGATATCCATCCCATTTAAGGACATATAGGAAACGCTGCTGAAAGCGTTCAGTTGGATGCAGGTAATCTATCAACTTCCGAATTCAACCAGGCCTCGCAAATGCAACGGCTTTCCACTTTTCCTTCACCACTTTCTCCATAATAAATGCTGCTCTCGCTGGGTTCAATAAACTCTATCCCCCTTTTCCCTCCATTATTATTATCCAGAATTACCCTTCGATTCGGACCTGTTGCCTAAGTTACCTATATTTTTATTTTTATTTTTATTTTTTTGGCATTTTATTGTGGGAATCCCGGTTTTTTTTTTTTTTTTTTTTTTTTTTTTTTTTTTTTTTTTTTGCCCATATTCTACCCACAAAATATGCGAAACTGGGCAGTCAAAAATCCCGGGGGAGGAGTGAAAAAGAACTGGGCAATGGGTAAGAGGTAAACACATCTGGAGCAGTACCGCCAATGCCCATGCGGTGGGAACAAAGGCAAAGGTAGTAAGTATGTCGCTGTTCATGTATGTGTACCTGAGTGGCTTTCTTTTCTCGCCATGACATCATCGTGCGATGCAAAAGACGGTCAAGAGGGTCCCTGAGCGCTATTTTTCATTACTGCTTTCCATAGCAATAACCATAGCATCCTTGCCGCTGCCAATTGATAGAAACATCCGTCTCTATCCCATGTTAATGGCAAAATACCTAGCGATATAGGCTGCTTCAGGTACTGCGCCTTCATATTCCACGGGCACTCATTGGTTGGCCTTGCTTTTGTCTTTCCGTACCGCTATGGAGACCATGGGGGTGGTGTACCAGATTTCGCCGCTCGGCCGTTTAGTAATGAGGTATCCAGCTCAAATCAAAGGGGATGATGGAGATGGATGGAGATGAAAATGTTATTGAAATGCCAAATCACCGCCAAATCACTGGCTGTAGCTCTCAAAGTTCTCCAGTTTTTATTTGTCCTTTGTAAGAGAGCGACGTGGGATGTGGGATGTCAGACTTTTGGGTATATATATCGCGCTGATGCTCCTTTTTCCATCCGCCTCTTCTCTACATCTGTACAAAAATCATATCTCTCAATCCCCCCTCCCGTATATCTTCTACCTAATCAGAGCTTCCTCTTGAAAGCCTCCAATTTATCACCTACATCACCACAAAACATCCGCAACTACGCCATCCAAACCCTTTCTACCCCGACCAGAATGACTCCCGCACCCCTCCGCATTGTCATGGCCTGCGACGAGGCCGGCCACAGCTACAAAGAAACCCTAAAAGCCCACCTATCAAACAACCCCCTCGTCGCCTCCATCACAGACGTGGGCGTTCCCTCCGCCGATGACAAAACAGCCTACCCGCACGTCGCCGTCCAGGCCGCCCAGCTCATCAAGGAAGGAAAAGCCGATCGCGCACTTCTGATCTGTGGAACCGGCCTGGGTGTGGCGATTGCCGCCAATAAGGTTGCGGGCATCCGTGCCGTTACCGCTCACGATCCGTTCTCTGTTGAGAGATCCGTTCTCAGCAACGATGCCCAGGTGCTCTGCTTTGGCCAGAGAGTTATTGGCATCGAGCTGGCAAAGAAGTTGGCGGCTGACTGGTTGAACTATCGCTTTGATACCAGCAGTGCCTCCTCGGCTAAGGTGAAGGTTATTGGCGAGTATGAGGCTAAGTTTGCTTGCTAAGAAGTGGGTTTTTTTTTTTTTTTTTTTTTTGTCTCTGGAAGACTTTTGATGATGGCTGGAATTTTGTCGCTTTTGCCCTTTTTGACAAATAACTTTGGAACGTTGGAGTGGAGGAGGTCGATCCTTCTCCTCCATTTCTTTTTCTTTGTTTGTCCCCTATATACCATTTGATTTGACGAGGAAAGAAGGAAATGGGACCAAAATTTACCCCATGGCTTATGATTCACACACTTATGTATTTTGATGTTATAGATGAGGTTTTTGGGCTTGGAAAAGCAGAACTATAGACAAGGCATTGTTACAATCATATCCGGAAATCAAAAGAAAAACACAATGACTGATTTGTTTGTTGCTTTTCCGTTTCCGTGTTTGCCCTCTAATATGTGGACTTCTAAATGCTTTTTTTGGCCTCCCCTTTTTCTAGACTCCGTAGCGAAAGCACTGTACGCGGTCACACAAAATGAAAAGAAATCAAGTGTCCCAAACAATCCAATTACCTCTCCGCCTTGTCCTCCAGCTCTCGCATCTCTTCCTTCATTCTGGTAATCGTCCCACTGCCCCCGTAAACCAATCCCGTATAAAGCATGGCTACATTAGCCCCAGCTTTAAGAGCCTTCGCAGCTTGTTCGCCATTCGTGATTCCTCCAGATGCAAAAATCACTTTTGGAGCCAAGTGGGGTTTCGCCGGTGATGTCATAGCGTCGGATTCAGAAGATGGTGGTGTGCTGTCAGGGCCACTATCGCCAGATACGGGGGTTTTATCAAGTAGCGCTCGATATCTCGCGACGAGGGAAACAGTTTTGTTGAACAAATGTGGGCCCGAAAACCCACCCGTTTCTTTTAGCGTCTCTTCCTCGCGGGCGGACAGCTTGTAGCCCGTGGGTATTGCTGCAGGCCTGGTGTTGGTAGTATTTCCCACAATAATTCCGTCCACGCCAGATGCCCAGACGGCGTCGCAGATCCCGGAGATTTGCTCATCCGTATCCTCATCCGGGCTTACTTTGACCATTACGTAAGGTTTGGTCGTCCGACTGGTGCGTTTTGCAGCATGGACGACACCCTTAAGTAGTGCAGTCAGGGGCCCTGATTCCTGCAGCGTTCGTAGGCCAGGGGTATTTGGACTGGACACGTTCACAACAAGGATATCCGCATATTTTCCTAGCTGGTCCACGCAGTAAACGTAATCTTTCTTGACGGCTTCGATGTCCGCCTCTGGTGTGTTTTTGTTTTTCGCAATCTGGACGGCGAGAAGCTTGCCTTCGATTAGACTGCCTGCCGGGACACTTGCTTCTCCATTTAACACCCGTTGTTCCGCAGATTCACCCCATCCAAAACCGTGGGCATAGGCGAACTCGCGAACTCGTTGCTTGAGAACGGCAGCCATATGATCTGCTCCTTTGGAGTTAAGCCCGTACCGATTGATCAAAGCATTCTGCGAGACGATACGAAACACTCGACTTCTGGGGTTTCCTTCCTGAGGAAGCGGTGTAGTTCCGCCAACCTCAACGATGGCAGGCCCCAGCTCAAACAGGGCTGACGGGATCTCTGCGTCTTTATCAAGGCCACCAGATATCCCAATCGGATTGCTAAGGGTATAGCCAAATACCTGCTTTCAATCGTTAGACAACACATGCTTCAAATGAATAAAGAAGGGACAAAAGAACGCAGAGATAATATGTCACCTCAGTAACTAATTTGCCGTCGCCATCCGGATTTCCCCTTTCTCTGGGATGGAGGCCAAACTGATAGAGAAATTTCAACCAATCCACTCCCGCATGATGAGCGTCTTCCGCATCTGGATAATACCACCTAATCAGGCGCGGGACAATCCACCGATGGGCACTCGCCCGGGTGTCAGTCGCATAGAGATAGCCGCCCCAGAGGAAAAGAACGATTGTCGTTCCGAGAAAATATCTCTTCATTTTTCTACCGGCGGGTTTCGCAGTTTCTGTGGCAGCCTCACTTACTGGAGCAGCTGGTGAAGTTGAAGATGTGTTCCTTGAACCAAATGGCACATTTGACCTGGATACCGGAACTCTTTGACCAAAGCGCTGTGGGATTGAACAACGGGGAGCTCGCAGCGTACCGCTGCGTGACATTGCTCCCAGGTTTCGGAGTAGAGACCGCGGAAGGCGGCCATTTCCACCGAGTGTCATTGCTAATGCGGCCAGAAGAGGTATACTATCGAATTGCCATCAAGAATGAACAAAATCAAATTGTTCGAATGTATCCGGGGGTGCTATTGAGCAGTCAATACATAGTTATAATATTTGACATAACAATAATTCAAGTAAAGTTAAAAATGAAACAAACAAAAAGCTTAGCAACAGGCTTTAAACGGCAACATGATAATAGAAACAAACAAATTTTCAGGAATAACCCCCATCTTATCGTCATGGCGATGCTCAAGTGAGTTCAGCCTTGCTGAAAACTACTAAAATTGTGGAGGGAAAAAGCTCATGTAAGCGGTTGCGAACCAGGATCAACCACGAAAACGCGATGCAACAGGCAAGTGACGCCATGAATAATATAAAGTACAATCATACTTACAATAATATACTTCAATGTGTGTTCCGGGCACAATTGGCGCTTCAATGCATGATATCGCACACTGTTTGTCTGAAAATTGAAGTGGGAAGTTGAGGTGAGTGATGTCGGCGACGGAATTACATTTCGCCGCATCTACTGTTCAAACCTTCAACCTCCTATTGTCGAATTCAATTTTCTACAAAAATCGCCTTGTGGAGATTGGCTCCGAAAGTTGCGCACCTTATCAGCTCAAATTGAAGCTCGACGGAATACGGTAATCTATTTCCTAATAGGTGTCTAATGTCCCACGCCGCTACCGCTTCGCCGGGGGTATGAGGCGGTAGACATGGTTTCATTTCCCTTGTTCAATGCCTGTGTAATAACCCCACAAAGCCCTCTTCTCAGGGCCATTTCTATCAGGGATAGACATATACAAACGACACGACATTTTTGGATGCACGGCAACCCACGCTAGAATAACGAAATCCCAAGGTTGAGGGCTATCATTGCCAGTTGTCGGGATCTGGTTTTGTTCAAATGGTTGATTAATGACTACTACATGGGTAAGATCTTACATCTGCACCCTAATGATGTCAAAATCCCTTCCCTTAAGGAAGACTTCCAGCCCAGTATCGCGGATAAGGCTGCTGTCTTGCGACAGCAAATTACGCGCCAGATTCTTCAGTCCAAGAAATGAGGATTGTTAACCCGCTGCGGCCGCTGTGCGACGTTTCAGACCTTAATTAAAGGGTACAGAAGATATTATGGCGAAGTGGTCGCCCGATTGCGAGGATTTACTGTAGGTGCAGATGGCGAAGTCTAATGTTGGTGCACTCTTTTGACTTCTTGCATTTTCTCCTCCAAATCCTTGGACTACATTTGACGAAAGAGAATTACATTTCGGCCACTGTTTATTCCAATGGAAGAGGCCAGATCATAACCTCCCAAAATACACCACTACTTTCAGCACGCCTGGTACGGATACTTAAAGCAAGAACTTTCATATATTCTACCACAAATTATGATTTTTTCCCACTAAAGGTTCCATATGACCCCTGTTGGTCCATCCACTGTACTGTTGATGGAGATGCCAGCTAACCAATATATTCCCTGCCGCGTAATGTCCTAGTCTGCAAAATGGCGGATGGGCAAATGTTGGCCTCATTTTCAATCTTCCTCATGGGAACACTTGGAGTAGCGATGATAATAATATCTAAAAGTGCTTCAAACCCTGGAATATCTCTACATCGTCTCTATGCTGTGCTTTTGGGCTAATTTATGGCACAGAGTCTGATGGCTACACTATACCTTCAGCAGCATGAAGACCTGAATAGCTCAATTTTGAGGTTAAAACTCGAAAAAGGTCCCATGTTTGCATAGAAGTTGATTATAGCCTTATTCACAGGGGATGTGATAGCCCATGCCCTTTTGAACGAGAAGAAACATCGATACCATCATGATTTTCTAGCATAACGATAGGCGTTCCTGCTTCCCGGAGTCATAAATGCTGTTCACCCTTTCCTCCCACAGCGTGGAACTTCTAGAGGGGCCAAGGTCATGCATGAGTGCAATGGATTGTTCTTTTCCTACTTTCCGCCGCTGTTGCTGATACCAGTGCCGCCCCTCTGTACTTCGAGGGGATTGGTGGTTTGACTCCTCCACTGGCCCTTGACCTACCTAGTGAGATGGATGTCCTGGCGACTTCATGGGAATGATCGCATGGTCAATTACAACCTACCAGACTTGCCACCTCTGGCCATGATGGGTCAGCGTGAGGTAATGATATCCGCGTCCTCCTTCATTGACCTCACGGTTGTTTTTATCTCTTGATTCCCTCAATTTCGGGAAATCCTTTATTATGTGTACTAAACTTTCACGTTTCTGTCTATAAACAAGGACATATTTCCCCTAATTTTGTTCTTGACCCAGATAGATTAAAAAGCAGGGAGCCTTGATAAACTTTCACAACGGCCTTATAATGTTCTGGAGGAAGACGAACCTCGCAGAATAGGTATTTAATGTGCACCACTCAATTGAAAGCGATGCACCTTGTCTTAACAATACATGCCCCTCTACCTGTGTGTAGAACTCTATATTTATAGACATATGAACGTGTAGCCATGTGCAGATCTTTCCCTACTACTAATAAATTGAGGTTCAGTTTTATGCCATGAATATGGCCTGTAGAGTTTGTACAACAGGATATATAATTGCCTTAAGGGCCCGCGAATATTGTCCTCGAAGAAGCTTACACAGAAAAAATCACATCACTAAATTGTTCCATCAATCCAATAGCTATCTATCTATTTGAGATTCATTCAGTCTGAGAAATCAGAGTAATTGATTGATAAATAGAACTTGCGGTAAGGGTTTATAAGTCATTATTATTAACATTAAAACTTCAATACTACTGCGTTTCAAAGATATAGCATCAAAGAAGCTAAAACAAAATTTCTCTCTGAAACTTAGTATCAATCTCGAGAAGAATGGGTTGATTGGGTGGCTGTGATAGTAAATTATCAAAGGAGAAAACAGACATAGGACATAAAGGGAAAGAAAAATGCTTACTACGGTAGATAAACAAAGTCAAGCGGGGTTTTTTGCTACTCTATTACCTTCTTCTTTCTTTTGATACCCCCCATTGTATTAGACTGCATTGCCAAATTGATGAAGATGCTGCCTCTATTTAAGTGAGCAGTGAACCCATCTGCCTCTGCTGCAGTATCTCACCGGACACCGCCGCGGGAATGTCTAAGCTGATTTTTCAGAGGTTGCTGAAAACTTTGCCATAATCGAGCAAAACTCGCCGTAATGTAATCCGCATAGAAGTTGAGGTTCGGTAGCCAATAATATATGCTTTTAGACGAATGGGAGCCTGGGAGGTGGTTATGCAACTCAACGAAAAATACCTAGGCCTCACGAATACGGAGGATAGAAAGAGCCAATTGGAATGCGTCTCTTCCATCAAAAACAATAAGTAAAATATCTCCGAATGAGATATGATCTAGTGAGAGGTCAGAAGCACTGGATGAACTTGGCCTCGCTTGCCCTAGTAAGGTATGTCATGGATGAGTGCAAAAACCTCGATACATGCCTGGAAAAAAAATGTGAGCAAATGAAGTTTTTTTCTCTAAAAAATAAGCAGACCCAGGGAGTACAGTAGCTAAGCTTTGTGATATGATGCCAACCAATGCAAGCACTTTTCAAAACATGGCGGCTTGTCATCCTTGCAGGATAACCCAAACATGCCAATAGGAGACAAGAAAAGAAGTAAAGGAGGAAAAAGAAAAACTTGCAGAACAGACATCACACATGGTCTTACTCGCGGTTGAACAGGCAAGATGAGAGGCAATCCGTGCAAATATAAAATATATTATTTCAAATATCTGTGGTCAGTCATCACAGCTATTGTTTTGCTTGACACAGCCAAACGGCTCAAAAATGAACCTGCGGATTGATGGTAATCTAAACGAATAAATAGTGTAGTGTCAAGGGCAGATTTGAGAAAGTTCTGATCTATCAACTAACTAACATAAGTTAGTAGTTACATCAAAAAGTAAAACCTATCGAGTTGAATGGAAGCATATGTTTCGAGACAAGGAGCGTTCTCTCGCACCGATTGGCAGCTTATCCATCCACGTAGACAAGGTACTCCTCGTATAGGAACAAGGAACCTTGCGAAGGTTGAGGAGGAAACTTCTATTATTATTTGAGGCGGCGAATTGCGGCTAACTATCCTGGTACGTATTCTCATCTCAATTCCCTGTTGAGCGCGAAAGCTCCGAGATTTCATTGCTGAGGCTCTGTTTCATCTATTGCCTCTTTTTTTTTTCTTTTCTCGTTCCCCCCAATTGGCATGTCCTTTTGAGATGGATGACATATGTCGAATTTCCCATATCCGAAACAAGCAAGGGGGATGGGTGGGGGTAAGACGCGCGGAAGACGGAGTGGACGCTAGCATGACGAACACCGAATAAAAAGTGCGGGAGGCTTTGAGAAGAATTAACTTTCTTTTGCATTGTTCTGATTGGGAAAAAGTCATGTTTAACTGCACCTAAGGATGGCCTTAGGAGTATGGAGGTGAGCGCGTGTAGGGAATAGGCATACGATCCTAGTCTGCGCTGGATGACACTGTAGGTATTCCGAGAATGTCGAGAGGGCGTGTTCCTAAGAATCACCACGGCCACTTCTGAACCCGATGAAAAGGCAAGCATTGTCTTTCATGATAAGTTACCGGATCATGACATTATTATTGCTGTTTCTACCATTAGCGACGTTGTCGCAATGGGTTTTCAACGAGGCAATGGTATGTATATGTATAGATATTTTGATAAAACAAGCATTCTTTATGCTTAAAAATAAGTCTTCTCGTGGCCCTCCACTTTTTTCAAAGTGGGCTCTCTCTGCTTGCTTCAGTTCTCCACCGGACTATGACAACTGCCGAAGCGTGAAGATAGATAGGGCATAGCTGGGTGGATAAAAAAAATACCCAGCTTCGACCGCAACAAAATCACCATGAAAGGTAGATATGAGGTATTCGCATCCCGCGCCCTTTTCACTATGATATTCACAATGATTATATGAGAGTCTGTGAGGACCCGTATTGTACTTAGTACTGTACAGCGCCTTGCCTGGATCCTTTTTCCCTTTCAAAGAGGTCAATACCAGTTTCCTGTCAAAGCGGAAGCGATGTCTGCCCGTTGCTTCTCATTGTTGTTACCAATAAAAGACAGGTAGGATTCGGGAAAAGGGGCTGCACGAATGCTTCCAAAACAACAATGTCTTAGTTACCTATATCTGATCCCCTGAAGGCTCATTGATGCATTATTAACTAAAACCATTTCGGTATCAGGAGAGGAGGCTATGCTGGCAACAAATGAGCGACAAATGAGAAACAAAGCGCAAGTTGCACGCTAAATAGGGGGTGGGTGCACATCTGACCCCTTTATCCGGGCACGTAGGCCAAGCTTTTCAAAGGGATTGGTAGCATCCAGCCCATCGGGATCACCAAGTTGGGTTAGAAGGAGGCTAGGCAAACGTTTTCTGATTTCAAGACAGCACCGCATTGTGCAAGATGGCTCCGAAATCGGATTGAGCTGGGGGAATAACTAGGGGAAGGGAAGGGAGTTTGGAATTCAGCTGTTGTGTTCTGACTTCAAAATACCAGGTTCCCTTCTTTCTGTTTGCCGGCCTTTTAGGCTGAGGGTGAGGCGGTGTTTCTCAATCAGAGCTTCAGGTTTGATCAGCGACACTAGAGCATGTCAGAACCTGCCAACACCAACCAATTATTGGCAGACGCGGAGCATGCTCCGGTGCCGAGAACCTATCCCCCCGTCAATACCCCCCGTCAATACCCTGGCGGACATAAGAGCCGTGACCGCCAGTCAAATCACGGTTTTCCTGATGTACGATGTATGAATTTTCATCACGACCCTGGTTTCAAGTCAGCCCATGTAACTTCTACCCTCTATGGCCAGATCAGCGAGTTCCTGTAAACCATACCACCGGTAAAATAACTGTCAACCGCAATACCATCACGCGTTTCCTGCTCTTGTCTCCTTCGTCCCTGATTCCAGCGCTGTTTGATAGTCTTATTAGTGTTGTAGACAGATATCTTGGCATGAAAGAGGGAAGCTCGGCAATTCAATTCCTCTAGCCTCAGACAAACTAGCGAAACTATTATTGACCATGAATTCATGATAGCATTGATCTTGGGAATCATGCCATGGAGTTCGTTTTCTCCCTAGACACCATATCAAGATTAGCGAAAGATAACAACTCTTGATATCAAGAAGGAGACACAGACGTATCACATAAAATAGTTTCATTTTCTAAGTCTGCATCAATCTTCTATTAAACCTTGCTGCTCTCTCTTTGGCATTGCTCAAGAACCCTCACTTACTTCTTTTTGCAGAAAATATAAGAAAATGAAACAAAATGCACAATTAGAAAATAACCCCCTTTTGCAAAGCAATAATAATGTGACATCCAATCTCCTCCATCCAGGATAGGATCCCAGCCAAAACCCCGAGCTCACCCGAAAATCCAATTCGGTAACTAAAGCCGCTCAAAGGATTCCGAAAATGCCGCGAAAAACGAGCCATTATTGTTGTTTTTCTCGAAAAAACGCAAATGGTCTTGAGTTGATTTAAAAACGCACGCTCATTGGACCGAACCACACATATCCAGACGAGTTTTCCCCATTTCAGCCTTTCCGAACCCCTTGTTGGGTAACTTGCTAAATGTTGCGCTACTCGAGGCTAGTAAATAGTGATTGCATACATGACACCGAGGCGAGCGGGTACCTGATTCATCATCAGCAGCAGCCAGCAAAGCAAAAACAGGGCAATGATAATGAAGGAAAGCATGAGCATGGGAAGAACGATAATGGAAAGAGAAACAGGAAAACCGGTTTTCTCTTTGTGAAGAGGGGAGAGTTCATTTCTTTTGCCGCTCTTTGGTTTTTTTTTTGGTTTTTTTGGTTTTTTTCGGGTTTTTTTTTTTTTTTTTTTTTGAGTTCACTTGAAGGCGAGTTCGGGCAGAATAATTTTGCCTAAGAATATTTATTATTCCCTTAGGCAAATGTATGTTTCAACTTAAATTTTTTTTTTTTTTTTATGCAGCGGAAGATTCGCGGCGGTATTCATTGACTATTAATAATAGTCGAGTAGTTTTGTTACAATCCCTTCCTTCATACGAGTATTGTTACTCACGAAAGCAGCTTGATCCATGGATGTGAGACCTTTGACACGTGCTCCAAGTCTTCCAGAAGCCTTCGATGCTTCCAGAATGAAGTTGGGATTTATGGATCCCAAAAATGCCAGGCCTAGATTGTTTGGGTTTATGCCCCTGAAGTTCCAGGCAAAAAATGGAAAAAAAAAAAAAAAAAAAAAAAAAAAAAAAAAAAAAAAAAAAAAAAAAAAACAGGCACCGCCACATTTTGATACACATACACAATTTCTTTTGGTAATCCTTCTTGCCAGGGAGGTTAATCGTTGCAAATGGTGGTAATTTCATTTATCACTATTATGATAAACCCAGGTAATATGAATTATTATATGGACCTCTTTATTTTTTGAGAGAGGAGAAATTTCCAAGTCACCTGGCAAGCCCGTCACAGGAACAATGCAGCCATGTTCGACTTAAAGTGGAACCTGCCCACATATCTTGAAGCTTGTTTTTCATGTCCCATCTTTTACACTTTTAGCCTTGCCAAATCTGGTAAATGACGGAATATATTTCTCAGCTGTCTATACCGAACCCGTCCGAACGTAGTTTATATAAGACCGTAAGCGAGTCGGCCGCTTTGTACTGCCCCATCAAATTTGTATGTAAAGATACCTACCTATATTTGTTTGTTATGTTTGTTTCAAAAGTATCTCCACAAACAAATTTGATGGGGCTGTACAAATTGACCTACCTACTCGCCTATCTGGCCGGCTCGCTTAGAGACTTAAGTTATGCGAAGTACACTGGAGGGTGGCGTCCTTTGTAAGGAAGGGCATGTTTTGGAGTTAATTATTGTCACCCATGTTTGGAGTGAGTTATTGTGGCCTCTTGATGGGAGCACAACATACCCCAACGCTTGAGTCCCACGGAGGATGTGGTCGGTGCTTTGGTGTTACTTAAAAGCCCGGTGGAGAGATGCCTCATGGCCGGGTTTGGGTGGGTTAGAAAGGCCCATCTATCCATGCGGGCCGGACATCTAAATCGCTTTGGTCCCCGTTCATGTAATTCTACCAGCTTCGTGACTCGTGGGGACGCTGGGGAGGGTTGGGCTGGAAGTGAGATGCAGTGGGTCGAATCAACAACGATTTACCCACAATTATTCCGTGAGGATAGCTTATTTCTTATTTTCGGGGATATATATGTAATTGATAGGGACGCGCCCACTAAGTTCAATTGGGTTTAGGCCGGTAATTGAATTTCCATTGATTAATTATGTAAAAACCGGAAATCTTATGTGCACGTAGAAACCACTGCCTACCTGGGCCCTACGGTAGCCCACCCTTCTACTCCCTCGGCTGCTCTGGGGGGCAAAAGATCTCATTCTACTACTGCCGGTGCCAGCGACAGAAGCTGCAGGATATGACTGATCTAACCATCTTATGAGCTGAGTTTGAGAGGTTTCATGTTGTGTGTATTAATCTAGCTAGTGGCAAACTAATATATGTGGGGTCACGTGGGTTAGGGCTGGTGGGTGTAGGAACCTCCAACAGAGTTTAAGGACAATAAAAGGCAATTTTTTGAAGAAATAATGGAAGCTTCTCTATTTCAACTCTATCATCTTGTGATACACAGCAGGCAGAACAGGTGGCTTTGGAGAATCTGTGAGAGGATGAGAAGGATTATTTGAGAGGCATTGTAGATATGATGGGTGCTGTTTGATCTTTTAACCACTACACAGTACTTTTTTTACGCGTGTTCATCCTATGCATATAAGATTTCCAGTTTTTTACATATTAACTTAATTAATGGAAAGTCAATTACCGAGCCATGCCTATTCTAATTTAGTGGGGGCGTCCCTATCAATGATGGGATGGTTCCATGTAAATCCCTTTTATTTCAAGTAGGTATTTCTTCGCGGGAAAACGATAATCAGGACAAAATAAGACAGTTTTGATGGTGACAACGGCGATTGTCCCTGAATAGTTATTTTGTATGTACCCTGCTCTTAAGATAACATAATGAGGTGAGGTCGCCCAAATTGTGAAACACATGAGAACACTGGGCTAACCAAGCAGTTGCCCAACCAATGAGTGGTGATGTGGCAGATGGCGCTGGCATTGACCCTTGCCACAACGCATGATGTAAGTTTGTTCATTTAGCAAATCATTGACATGGTGGTACATGGTCTAGGATAGATTGTTTTTTATAGTGCTGAAGGGATTAGAAGCAGGTTGGGTTGGCTGCAGGGAGCAACCCTGTTCAAGAGCATTGCGCTCTCTCTCTCTCTCTCTCTGTTTCTCCCTTTCTTTTTATGACAGGGAGCATACAATGTTTCTAGGCTGTCTGTCATTTCCGAAATGCTTTGTTGCCCGCGTGCCTGGTATTCCCTATGCCGGAAGTTAGGTCTGTGTCAGCCAGGATCGAAACTACCCTTCACCCGGGTGAACAAATATTGGATAGGACCGTAGGATTCACTGATAACGAGAATGATAGGACCTGGGTTAACCTACCTACCATGGCCATGCTTGAGCATCTGATAATGCATCATTCAGAAGGGCGGAACTTCCTGATACCAACCTGTTTTCCGCGAAACTTTTCACCAACCAACCTCAGTACGGAGTACAGTACGGTATATACGGCCGTACCTGTGTACTGTAAATACGTGGCTGTACGCTGCGCACTCTACTGCGTACTTTCAATGTAAAGTGTCAGCAATAGTGCGTGGCAGTACGGCACAGAGTACATCCACCCCAGCGAGAGGACGGAAGGCCATGGCTTTGCTCGGAGCGGTCAAGGAACGCAACAGCGCTGTAACTACGAAATAGTACTCCGTAACTACTCCGTAGCTCTGAGCGTTCTGCAGACGAAGCCACATCCTGCAAGGACGCACGCCATTTCCAGGGCGCCGCTCTTAGGCTTCATCCACACGGAACTCCCCCGAGTGTTGCTGCTGAAAACGCCACCAGGATGCAGGGTTGCCCAAGCCTTGCTGGTGCCTGTGAGTGGGATGGATGGTGCGGCGGCAAGCTCGCGAGTTGCTTTTTTTTCTCCCCCAATGATCATACCATTGCTTTTGGTTATTTTGGGTTTCTCAACAATCCTTTGATGGTGATTTAGAACGAGCCGGTTCGAGTTCACCATTGAGCAAGCTATTTTCGGTAGGAGTGAGTGGCTTGTAGGCAATAATAACCACAACCCTTTCCGTATTTCCCGTGAGGAATGCGATATCCAAAGCTGCTTGTAGTGCGTTAGTTGAGGCTGGATGCCGAGGAACGCCGTGAATGACAAATGTCTTGGCTATTCAGCGCTCTCCCTCCTTCAGCGAAATTAAACCTGTTGCAGATTGTTGTTTGTAAAGTTCTGGTCCTTGTGTCGATAGTGCAGCTTACGTCATATTCGTTGAAATGCCAACGTTGCAATAATTATAATAATTAATGATACCGAACCAAGGCGCAACCGGCAAACTATGTTGGCTATGAGAAAGAAACCGCCAAACCAGCGACCAAGGAACTGTCAAGCTAGTTTACTCTAGTGCAAGTGATTTGATGTTTCGGCCACCCCAAGGAAGGACTTCCCGGGGTTGGATCTGCCACTATTTTTCCTTCGATGATATAACGCAGAGTTTGGGGCAAAACGTTCTCCCTCCTTTCCTGGTTTTATTGGCCAGGGACACGGAAGAGGGGAGCGCCAGGGTGCTTGGCCAATAGCTAGTCACGACTAGCGGGCTCATCACTTTTGTTCTCTGTTGTTCCTGCGAAGTCGTTGCATCCCGGCCACAGCGATGGTGAGACGACGCCTTTTTAAAATTACCAACGCACAATCTTGGAAGGCTGATTTGCTTGGCCCGAGGCAAGAGCGCTTTTGTCTTTTTGACATCTGATGATTCATTGGCACGCGGTATTATTTCATGCATGACTCGACAAACTCAAAACTTTTTTTTTTTTTTTTGCCACAGGGTCCTTTGGCGCTAGTATGATCATCAAGAGAAGAGCAATGCAAATGCGGTAGCTCGTTACACGGCCTCTAGAAACACGTTTTTGATCATGCATTAATTGTGACAATTGGCCGTGATAACAGTGTCATAGTGGCATAGATGGATTCTCGTTCCCCTTTTCAGGTACCGCAATTATTAAGCTTAATACCGTCGATCATCATCTCCCATAAAACCAGCCCTTGGTTTGGTAATCAGTCACCCCAGGAGCCTGGGGCCCAAGGGCGAAAGGATGTGGATACGGCACTTGGGAATGATCCCGATAACGGAATAGCATAACACCGCCTAGGCGGCGGGTAGAGCAATCCAGTGGACGAGTAACTTGCATATGTGGATCCCAACGGGGTCCTGATTTGCCGACAGTTGAATAAATCTGCTTGATTTTATACAAGCATGTACTGTCAAGCAACGTCTCTTTTTTCAAGTTTTTTGATACATCTGTCTCAACCAAGCTTTCGAGATTAGATTCGAGAGTAGCCGAAGTGGGACTCGGATATCTTGACGGTTTCAAGGATGGTTTATCAATGTGAATTGGGGCTTGCAAATTTTGGGAGGGTCTGGCCGGCTGGCAAAAGAAACCCCCACCCCGAGCTCTCGCGCTGGGGGAATTTCCGGCTGAATGCTTCCTCTCGGATCGGATAGAAGAGAACAATGGTGGAGAAAGGCCACAAGAACCCTCCGTACGGAGTACAACCGTCTCTAACAATGAGGGGGCGCAGAGAAGAATCTCCAGCTCTAGCATCCTGCAACTCGGCATACAAATGACAAGAAGTTACAAATGTTTGAAAGAGAGGGGGGGCCACAAAAAATTGTTCGCGAAGCTCAAAAGAATAATTACATCTCTTTTCTGGCTCCCGCACCCCCACAACGGCAGTTGGGCCAAAACCCAAATGTTATGTGTGTGGCTCCCTTGTTGACAGCTGGAGACTGAGGGCCTGTTCGGTGATTTTTCCTGTACAGTGCCAGGGCTGTACAGAAAGTGGATATTTAACTTCTGATGGTGTTAATCTTCATTATTGTCACCTTTTCTTATATGAATAGTAGTCTGCTTAGTGTTTTGACATTACAGAGTACTTCCTTATGAATGGTTTTTTATGATGATGACTATCATACTATTTCAGCAGATATATAGCAGTATGAAAATCCTGTTATCTATCTTTACACATTAAATATCAGTGAAAAATGAATCTTAATGAGTCTTAAATTGATCACTTTTGCAGTGACAAGCCTTATTAACTGCTGTCTATGATATAGATACTGTTATATTACTTCTCAAGTTACATTATCACAGTTACTCATCATAATTGTTGATTTTTGATGATATTTACAGATCTCTGAATGCTGTACTCTGGACTCTGTACTCTGTACAGTCACACTGAGACATGTCAGTATATATCATAACTCATTCCAGTGTATACAGTACAGATTTAACTTGAATAGATTTAGATCTATCACTTTTTCAGCTAAATACACTGTTGAACTCTATAATATGAATCTGACTGTCAGCTTGATATGCTTGGTGAGTTGTACAGAGTTATACACAGAATCTACTGAACAGAAGACCTTATTCAGCCAGGTTAGTGTGTATAACCCCGCCCAGAGCCGTCCAGGGCCGTACAAGCTGGCACTGTACGGACTTATACAGCCCTGGACGGGGTCACCGAACAGGCCCTGAGAGCGCAGGTGCGCGGGCCATGCTCAAGCCTCCATGTATTCCTTTGTTCCTTTACTTGATCTTTTTATCTTTTTGTCTGGGGAAAAAGAAGATCAGAGGGAAGGGGGGAGATGTCATATATTCATATTTTTTCTTTTTTTTCGATTCTCTCAGCTTTTCATGTCTCCATCATTTACCTCCCCAAATGGTTTGCGCAACATCCCAAAAAAATATAGATATAACTATAATATATACAAGCATCAAATGCTCGCTTACGCTCGCCTTTCTGCTTGCGCAGCCCCCTCTACCACTTCCACCCTCCCCCCCAACCACTCCCTACCCCCCCTTACCAC